TGAGTTCTAGTGTGTGTGTGTGTGGGGGGGGGGGGTAACCGCTAAGGAGGTGCGGTCGAAGGGGATTTTATTTCTGTAATGAAGTAGGTTCTCTCAGGGTATTTGGGTAGCCCACTCCATGACACAATCCACTTTTCTGGTGGAGCGTCCTTGTTTGAAGAAGGCGGTTTTAAGTGTGTTAAGGTGTATATCCCAAACTTTCTCCTCGGAGCATATTCTGTGGTAGTTAAGGCCTGCTCTACACTAGAAAATTAGGTCAGTTTAAGTGGGTCAGGGTTGTGAAAAATCCACACCTCTGAGCCTTGTAGTTAAACCAATCTAAGCCCCTGTGTAGACAGTGCTAGGTCGATGTAAAAATTCTTCTGTTGACCTAGCAACCCCCTCTCAGGGAGGTGGATTCCCTATGCCGACAGGAGAATACCTCCCATTGGCGTCGGTAGTGCCTACACCAAAGCCCTACGGTGGTGCAACTGTGCTGCTGAAGCATTTTAAGTTTAGGCAAGCTCTCCATGCCTCACTGTAGCTAACAGATTTCTTGGTGATTACTGGATCTATGAAGGTAGATGTAGTGATCCGTGGCTTCTTGTACATAGTTGTCTGTAGTGTTTCACTGTTTAAACTGACCGCAATGTTGAGGAAGGTGATGCAATACCGGCATTGTCACCCAGTAATACTCTACAAGTAAGCAGTTAGCTGTTAAACTACAATTGTAGGTTATGGTGCACATTCTTAGTTGTATTTAGATACAGTAAACTCACATATAGCGAAACCAGGTTTATAGGGCCATACGCTTAGCATGGTGCAGAAACCTCAAAAGATGGTACATGGGGCAGGGACTACAAGGAATGTGAGAGGCACAGTAGCATCCTCCAATAGCACATGCCCAAGTTATGCATAGCTTACTGTGGCGAGGCACCTCCTTCGTCTTGCCAGACTTAGCACTTCCCCCTCTGGTGGTGGCGGGCCTGGGGTAAATCAGCCCCACTCTGAGCAGTATTTGCCTTCCTCCTTCTGTGTTTCTTTGGCCGTATTTTCAGGGTAGGCCTCGGGTTTGGCTTAAGGGGTGATCCTCCACCAAACAAAAAGGAAACAGTCTCTCAAACTCAAAACCAAAGGGGGATACCTTTCCCTGCCTCCTCACTGGGGCAGGGTGTTGTCCTGTTGTTTTCCCCAGGGTGTCAGTCCTTCCCCTAGCATGCACTCAGGTTTGGATGTTTCCCTTATGGGAAGAAGCACAACTCTCATCCTGGAGAAGCTTATTTCCCTGCTGCCACTAGCCTGGCAGCAGCTTGGCTTGTCTCTCTCTCCTTTTCTCTCTCCAGAGGAAAGATTTTTAAAGGCCTCAGGCAGTACTTAATTGGATTCAGGGGTCCCTAATTGACCTGAGGTAACCCCTTCTCAGCTTGTAGAAAAAGAGCCTTTAACATTCTAGGGCTAACCTAAGGGTCCAGGAAGGCCAGCTTACAGCCATCAGGCCTGACCTTGCCCCATTGAGCTTCCATTGAGTAATGTGACAAAGTGATGGGTGGCCTAGCTACTGCTGATGAGAAGCAGCCAGGGAACAGCTAATCTAAAAGTAATGTTACTCTTGCCATTGCCAATAACTTAATGACATTTTGCAGCATATGTTACTGCTGCTCCAAACAGGAGGCACTTCCCTCTCTGCAGCATGTCCGCAGAAGAACCATGTGCATGAGAAGATTGGGGGCTTGCCACTGCCACTATGGCACCTGTGAGGTTTCAATATCCTTGCTAGCTCTGTTGCAAAGAAGGGAGCATTCTGTTCATTTACCACTCCCAAGATTCCACCCAGATGTGGGCCATAGTAAAGACAGAGAAAAATCAAAAATTGTTTTTAACACATTGGCAAGTCCAGCCTGAAATTCTGGTCATTGTGAGATTACAGTGAAATTGTTCTAGACATGTACGGATGTCACTACTCGAGGATTCCACTGCATATTTCTAAGTGACCAAACTCATGCAATATTAAGAATAATTAAAGGAGTTAAGGGGGGGGGGGTGAGGGGGAGAGAAAGGAGCAATAAAAGAGTACCTCCCTGAAGGGGGAGTTCCAAAAGAGGATGGAGCTCGGCTGTCTCAGTGGAGGCAGATGACAGAACAAGAAGCAATGGTCTCAAGTTGCAGTGGAGGAGATCTAGGTTGGATACTAGGAAAAACTTTCACCAGGAGGGTGGTGAAGCACTGGAAGGGGTTACCTAGGGAGGTGGTAGAATCTCCATCCTTACAGATTTTGAAGGCCCGACTTGACATAGCCCTGGCTGGGATGATTTAGTTGGGATTGGTCCTACTTTGAGCAGGGGATTGGACTAGATCTCCTGAGGTCCCTTCCAACCCTAATCTTCTATGATTCTATGAATCCAGGACTTGCCTTACTATCTGAAGCTTTGAAATATCTTGCTGGGGAAGAACAGAAATGCCTGCCCATCCCACAGATAAAGGTCATGGAGTTATTTCCTCCAATTCCAGTCCCACTGCCAGTCCTCGCATTGCATAGAATGCGTAGCTCAAGTAGCTAGTTGTTTTTCTTGGGCTTCAGACAGCCCCATTTCAACCTGTGATGCTAAAGTAGCTATGCAGATTAAAACACATTAAGTCATACTTGACTCCCTGAATCAATACATCCCTGGGGAAAAATATTATTTGCCACATTTTATCAGAATAGTGTGGTCAATCAAAGAAATCATTTGCAATAGACTCAAATTCTCTCTGCCCTCTCTTCCTATGTGCAATGAATATAGGGTGCATGGTCACCTGGCAGACTCTCAAACTTCACAAAATAGCATATTTCTAAAATAAATTAAAGGGTGAAGCAGGATTTTCATTTGTAAATCTGGAAAAAGGATATTCTCTACAATTTATATATGAAAGCATGTGAAACCCCCCCAAATGTTTGCATTCTACTTCAATGAGCCCAACATAGAAAATTTTGGAGAAAATACTTCGTGAATTTATTAAGTATAAGAATATACTACAGCTGAGGACTTCCCAATTTTTGTTTTTACATTTAATATAATTTTACACATTAATCAATAATCTCCATAAAAGAAGACCCTGAGAATAAATCTAATCTGAAAACTAAGATTCCTCAACCATAACAGTTTCCAGTGTCTCGTCTGTCTAAAGGAGAGTGAAAGTGGGTATCTTGCATATAAGAATTACAACAGGCCAACGTATTATTAGTTTCTCTAGACACCAACCAAGTTGCAAGACTTGTTATACCAAGGACTATAAGAAGAAAATTAATAGTGTCCATTCTTAGAGCCATATTTTTGCCCACAGGATAATATCTCGGACCTAGCTTAAAAATTCAACAAAAAACAACATTGAGCTCTTCTTTGATTTCAGACCTTCATTATCCCAGTGTCCAATATTACATTAGAGCAGACTTCTACTACAAGATATACATTGTAGATTTTATCTCAAATGTAACATTAAACAGTCCTCAGACTTTATATATTATTGGGTATCATGCACTCTCCGTTTAGGATTACTTTTTTTTGTTTAATATGAACTCCTGTGCTGCTGGATATAATCAGAACTTATGAGGGGTTCAACACCAGATATAATCAAAATGATAGTACTATCTAAACATCTCCCCCCATCTTTCATATGTCACTAGTCTCCTTAGATTATAAACTCTTGATAGTAGGGAGCATGTCTTCTTTGGCATTAATACAGCACTAACTACCTGGGGACCACCATGCTGATATGAGCCCTGCAGGAATATAAATATTAAATAATAATAATGGCCAACCTCCCAGATATATGTACTACATGAATAGGATCTCATCACTGCTTATCTCTGTACTGCCAACTATCGAGTTCTTAAAGATTATTTTTTTGCAGCTGCTATTGTAGTTCTCAGAAGGATGGGTATGTCTTTTCCTTTGTCCGGCAGGAGTTACCAACTGTGACCCAGAGACCACTTGATGCAAACTTGCACAGGGGTCACAGGGATTTATAGGGATCTCTGGGGTCAGCTATATGCACAATAGCTCACCAAAGTGTGGCGTGTAAAAGCCAGTAGCCCACAGGTCATAATAATCATTGTGAAATATATGTATGGATAAAAATGTAAGAAGTTATGTATCTATACTGAAAATTACATTCATAAAGCCTTGGAGCTAAGGCAGGTTACCCAAAGGTGACATGCCTTGGACATGGTCCTTTCAGGCAGGGGGTAACAAATGGTCTCTTCATTTATTGGTTGTCTGCTTCACAATACAGGCCTATTTGCATATTGAGCCAGGCGCCAGTCAAAAGGTTGTCTAAGCTACAAGAGAGAAAATGTACAGGAACAAAACAGCAAGGAGGTGTCTTGTTTATGAATGAAGACAAGTAAAGACTTGTATATCTTGGGGGGCAAAGGAACACACTGGGTCCTTTGCCTAGAAAGCAAGCTAACCGTTTGCCCGTCTCATTAAAGGAGGATCATAGCCAGCTTGGTTATAAAGTGCAAGGACTTTGGGTGATCACTCGACAAGACATGAGAATGCCTAGTTAATGAAGTCCAGGCTCTAGAATGCATGCTATGATTTTACTTCGTATGTAACCATTTGTCCCAATACATCTACCTGCTATTACTTGAATCTCTATGCTTCGTTAAACATAACTTATGTTTGTAGGGAAACCAAGTACATCTAAGTGCTGTGTGTTAAGTGGAGAGGCAATCTGAGGCAGAATTGGTGAACTGTTTCTTTGGAAGCAGCAAATCTGTGAATAGTGCAACTGTCCAGTAGACCAGGGGCTGGTCACAGAGATATGCAGAAGGCTCGAGGGTTGTGGTATGCCAAGCACTAACCTGCAGGGGCTCATGGAGCCTAGAGTGGAGTGGAGCCTTGTGTTGCCAGTGGCCAGCAGAGTTAGGAAGCTGACCCATGTCAGGCACAGACAGGCTTCCTCATGCCTCACAACCCTTGTTACCCCCAGGCAGTGTTACACCAACGAAGTAGAGTAATTTGAGGCCAGGCCTGAGCAGTTAATTCCAATAGCATTATCCTACCATTTTCACAAAGAACACAATCCACCCTTCAGTCATGTATTGGCTTTTACTACTACACAGCCTGTTTCTCCATGTGATTCTGCTCCCTTGATCTGCCATCCTGCTGCACTTCTCTCCTTCCCACACCTACATTATCTAGTCCTTGTGACAGTTATTTTAAATATACCGGAGGATAAACCTCATTGATAGGTATTATTTTTATTGGTTTTTTTTACTGATTCCACACACACAACACTGAGCAATCCCATAGCAATATTTTCTACAGAAAGCTAGCAGCCATTTAATATTAAGTAATGAACCACTTAAATAGAAAATAATCCAGCTGTCGTCTTAGACCATTGCCCATGACCTGAACTTATCCCTATACCATTTTGCAGCTTGGAAGATGGGGTTTTCCTTCTGATGGAAGAATCAGGATTTAGTGTTTTAGAACAATGACCTCCAAAGAGCCTCTTACGGTGTCATTATTAACCTTGTTTAAAAAAACAAAACAAAACAAAAAAACATGACTTATATCTGATGGTGGAACCCCAGCTATTCAGAATTTGTTTAACGAGCACATAAATTTCTTCTACTTAACCTGCATTTTTCTTTAAAAATAAAATTCTACAAAACATTAAGCATTCACAACAGAATAAGTACATTTTGTACAAGATGTTAATAAAACTAGCATTGTCTTCTTTGCCTTCAAAAATGCTAGTGTAAAAAGACAGAGCATAGGAAAATGGTTAATAAAGTAATACCAAATGTTAAGCATCTAATTCCCATCGCAAATTTCTCTAGTTTCTCTGTCTAAAATCCTTGATACATCTATAATGTACATATTGTACTACACCCTTGATATGGATGCAGTTACGCACACTTTGAAATGTTCAATAAACCATGAAAATAAGAGATAGTTAGTCTAATATTCTAACAAATGACTTCTCTAAACAAAAACAGGTACATGAAAATAACTTTCTCATAGCTAGCAGGATTACAGATTAAAACCGCAGATGCTAACATGAATTGAAATACAGTTTGCAATTTAAATTAAGGTTTGAAGATAAATTTCCTTTGTCAATGTGAAAGTCAATTTTTACAACATATGACCCATTTTTATATTGACTACGTTTACATATTCAAGTGTTTAAACAAAATCTAGACCGTACATTCGAACCCTGCACACATGCCTCGGACAGATGTTAAAACAAAGGTACAGGTCTAATAGATTTTCACAGTAGGACACAATTAACAAAAAAGAGTCCTCTTAGATGAGATTGGTCTTCATTCAGCAGCCATGTTATCATAATCTAGGACCTCTCTCCAACATTGTTTAAACTGTGCTAATAGTAACTCTTTTTAAATACAAATGTGGTTGTTGATACCCTGCCTTCTCTAAGCAATGTAGTCCATTGTTTTTTTTTTTCCCCTTCCTCTGAGAGTTTCATAGATTCATAGATTCTAGGACTGGAAGGGACCTCGAGAGGTCATCGAGTCCAGTCCCCTGCCCACATGGCAGGACCAAATACCATCTAGACCATCCCTGATAGACATTTATCTAACCTACTCTTAAATATCTCAAGAGATGGAGATTCCACAACCTCCCTAAGCAATTTATTCCAGTGTTCAACCACCCTAACAGTTAGGAACTTTTTCCTAATGTCCAACCTAGACCTCCCTTGCTGCAGTTTAAACCCATTGCTTCTGGTTCTATCCTTAGAGGCTAAGGTGAACAAGTTTTCTCCCTCCTCCTTATGACACCCTTTTAAATACCTGAAAACTGCTATCATGTCCTCTCTCAGTCTTCTCTTTTCCAAACTAAACAAACCCAATTCTTTCAGCCTTCCTTCATAGGTCATGTTCTTAAGACCTTTAATCATTCTTGTTGCTCTTCTCTGGACCCTTTCCAATTTCTCCACATCTTTTTTAAAATGCGGTGCCCAGAACTGGACACAATACTCCAGCTGAGGCCACAATACTGGACACAATACTCCAGCTG